TGATCCTCTGAACTACAGTCATAGGTTCTTGTGAGCTGCTATGAAGGTGCTGGGAACCAAGTCTTTGCCTACTGAGCCACCCCTCCAGCCACCCAGCCTTTCAATGGTGTGACTGTGCCAAGACCTGTGTGTGGAAGTCAGGGAGCAACTTTCAGACATTCAGGAGTTGGCCTCTTCTTCCACTATGTAAATCCTGGGTATGGAACTCGGGTCACTAGGTCAGGGGGCACGTACCTTTACCCACTGAGCCATCCCACTGGTCCTCCCCATGTCATTTTAGGGCTTGAGGCCTCCTTTCTAACACTAACATCCAATGGCCTGCATGTACCTCTGTTTGCTTGCTGAAGGAGTTCATGGTTTCTTCCAAGTACCTGTCATTATGATTACAGCTGCTGTAAATATCTGTGTGCAAGCGCGTATGGACACAATGCTGTTTAGGTAAATACAAAAGTCTGGTTGCTGGGTTGTTGCAGTAGGGTGGTATTTAGTTGGGTTTTGTTTTTGTTTTTTGAGGCAGGGTTAATTGTGTAATTAGACTGGCCTTGAACCCAAGACCTTCCTGCCTTCCCCTCCAAGCTGGGATGGTGGGTGTGCAGCACCAGGAGCACAGCATGTTTAGTCTTTTTTCCCTTTGGTTTTTGAAGACAGGGTTTCTCTGTGTAACAGCTCTGGCTCTCTGGAAACTTGCTTTGTAGACTAGGCTGGCCTGAAACTCAAGAGATCGGCTACGTCTGCCTCCTGAGTGCTGGGATAAAAGGTGTGTCTAGTTTTCTAAGTCCCTGCCACCGCCTCTGCATGCCGATAGCAGTGTTCCATGTCCACCTTTACCACGAGGCAGCAGAGAACACGGTGCTTCCTTGTTCTAGGTAGCAATTCCCTAATGCTCAATGACAGTGCTGAGCACTTCCTAGTTTCATTTGTCATCTATGGTCCATTTCTGATGAGGTGACAATATTTTTGTTTGTTTGTTTGAATGCAGTGTACTGCTTCCATGTGACCCAGCTAGTATTTCTTAGGCATTTATCTAAGAGAAATGCAAGCTAGGTAGGTGTAGTGGCTCACACCTGTAATCCCAGGACCGAGGAAGCTGAGGGTAGTGGTTTCAAGCTACACGAGACCTGAGGTCTAGATAGGTATCTCAGTTGTTCAAGTACTTGCCACAAGGCCCTGAGTTTGAGCTCCAACACCCACATAAAAAAGCCAGGCACAGCATGTGCTTGCAGTCCCAGTGCTGGGGAGGTAGAGACAGGTGAGTTCCTGCAGCTCACTGGTCAGCTAGCTAGTCTAGCCGCATCATGCACTTCAGGTCCCGGAGAGGCAACTGTCTCAAAAACCGCATGCATGGCGCCCAAAGTTGAACTCAAGAGGTGAAACTGTAACAAACAAAGCAGAAAGAAAGGAGATGTCCACAGAGAAATCTGTGCACAAATATCTAGTGATTTTCTTCACAACTGCCCCCAATCTGAGACAGCCTAAGTATCTATCAGCTGGTGAGCGGACAAAAGGTGACACTCCAGTGCTTAGTAATAGAAAGAAACAAACTCCAGCTCACACCCGCCCACAGTGACTTTCAAAGATGCACTGTTCAAAATGGAAACAGCCAGACTGAAAGGAAGGGCAGAATCTTGGGGACAAAAGCCAGGCTGGGGTGGTCAGGGCTGAAGAAGCCTGTACATGGTTTCTCCAGTAGGTTTTGGCAGCATGTGCCCATACAACAGTATGAACTTGTTGGAACTCATGATGTTACACCTCTCAAGAAGAGACCCCACTTCCCCACCAAGCAGATGTGGGCCCTGGGCAGCTCCACCTTCTGGTGCTTGCTCCTTGGGGTCAGACTGGAGGTAACAGGCATGATGTGCCCTAACAGTCAGGTGTTGTGGCGAGCACCTGTGGTAATGGTGCCACCTGCCCTGCACAGCTGGTGAATTCCAAGCACATCAAGTCTGGAAGACCATCTGTCCCTCTATCAACAGAGCCATGACACTGGATAAACTTCTGGGCTCCCTCCCAAGTAGCCAGGCTGACCCCCAACCCAGCTGTTTTATGGCTTCTGACAGCAACCTCTAGTCCCCAGGAGAGAGGATAATTAAGCAGAGTTGCTACAGCTCAGAAGTCTGAACCTGACATGCCACCCTTTAATGCCCTCTCCACCAGGACAAGCCATTTTAAGACAATCAATTTGCTAGGCCAGTTTTACAGAATATCCAATCCGAACACCTACTCCACTTGGATATGAGGACCTATCTGTAGCTCTTTCCAGAAAAGTCAGAGCCCTGAGACAGTGAAAGATTGTCCAGTGTAAAATAAATGTCAACCACAAGCCATTTCCAAAGAATCTCTACTCGGACCTGAAAGTTAACTGTTAATATATCTTCACAGATCTGTGCACAATCCTCAAAAACAAACCCCAGAAGTGACTGATTTGCTAATATAAATGATATTGACAGTCATAAAAATAAACACTTCACAAGTCTATTTTCTTGCCTGACATTTCTATGTGTGGTGGGAGGTTGTTGGTAAAGGGCCATGCATAGGCATGATGAGAGATGAGGACGCAAAACAGGCTGAGGTCAGGGGCCAGGCCAGAATGAATGGCAGATACCACTGTCTGCTGTAGACTGTAGACTGCTTTCCTGCACATCTGGTCAGTGTAGTTGGCTCTGAGGACAGTCCAAGAAGGATGACTTCCACAGAGCACACCAAGAGCTGAAATGCAGTACTCACTGGAAAAAAATAGAGGGTAGTGAGGAGCCAAAGGAGACAGCAGTTCTTGAGAGGTCCGCTGCTTTAACAGGCTGCAGGTCCCTACATGTGGTACTCACATTAGACATAGAGAAGTCTAAAGGCTGAGCTAGGAGGAAGTCATGACTCTGAGGACTTCCTGTGCAACTCTTCCAAGTCCAAGAACTTGAGGCAGGGTAGTCAGTCTTCTTGCTGTGAGCCTAGTGCCAATCAAGACTTTTGGTCGGTGCTCCTGACATTTTGGGGTTATTCGAAAGTTGTTTTCCCCTCAGTAGTGGGGATTGAGCCTAGGGCCTCACATGCTCGACAAGCACCCTGTTGTTTTCACTCTGACAGAATCCAACTAAGTTGGCTAGCTTAAGTATGCCTTGTACTTGTAACCCTGCCTCACACTCCAAGGACCTAGGATTCCAGGTCCACTACTAGGTCGAGCTAATGTTAGACCTTTAGTCTGGAGATAGTAAGGAGGCATAAAATTTGCAGCTCCCTTTCTAGAGGGAGAACTTTCCAGAGCCTGGCAGGAGCCTTCCCTCAAGGGGCTGCCTGCAGGGCTGGCTCACTAACAGGGAGAAGGGGCTCCCAAGCGTTTCTTCTCATTTTCTAGGCTTAAACCTAGAGGACCTAGGAAGTAGACGGCATATCCTCTATACTGGAGTATATCGCCTGTTCAGACAGCTAATTCAACCAGGACTAGGATCCCACACAGTCCTCCGAGGCCTGCTCCGTACCAGACTTTGGAGTGTGACACTGACCCTTTGACAGACATGAGTAGTCACTGTAAGCTTCGGGGAGCCTGAGAGCTCTGAGTGCCTGTGGGAGCTGTTCTGTTGGAATTCTAATGCCAACACAGGGCTACGAAAGCACAGTTACATGTACGTTATGTGGGTGCGGTATCTTTCCTCCCCAAGAGCATTATACTCCCAGAGCATCATGGGTCCTCAGCCAAAGGACTTCCTCATATTTACTCTCCAGCAGGGATTTAAGAGCTGGATTTTGGAGGGGTAGGTTCAAAATACTGATGTACATCAAAGCCAGGCCTGCTTTTTCCAGCCAAGCCCTGGCAGGACGTGGATGCTAGTGACCCGGCTTCAAAGAACCACCAGAGTAATGAGATACAGCCGATAACTTAAATCATTTAAGAAGTTATTTTTTATATAAAACATTCCAAATATGTTTATCTTCTCACTCTAAATCTCTAACAGGTCATAGTAATGTTCCTTGGACTTATGGACTCAATTCTATCTTCAATTAGAGTAAAAAGCAAGGGGAAATGTTTGAGATGAGGTCTCACTACGGGCAGCTAAGTTCTATTTTGTTTTCTGAGACATGATCTCATATACCCTAGGCTAGTCAACTCACTTTGTAGCCAAGGATGACTTTAAACTACTTATCATCCTGCCTCTACAACCCAAATGCTGGGATTATAGGCATGCATCCATCACTGTACTCGACTTCAGAATATTACATTTTGAAAAGCCTGCTGCCCTTTTCCTCCTAGGAGGATGTCTCAAGTGACAGGACTACTATGCAAGCACCTAGGCCCCGTGCAAGTTTGTGCTCACACATAACTGTGTGCAGGAGACCATCTTTCAATATATATCTTCCACGGGAAAGCTCATGATGGACACTTTCAAGAGCTGTCCCAGGTGAGGAATATGCCAATGACGTACTTTTGGTGCTCCTGACATTTTGAGAGTCGCAACTTACTCATATGTTGATGCAGGCAGACGCTGCAATATAAACTGATCACTGTTATATTCACCTGGCACACAGCTGTCCTTTCTAGTAGCCTTTTTGCCCTCTCCCCTTACATTTATGGTTTAGGCACATGAACACAGGAACTGGGTGTGGGGGCTGTGTGCATGGTGAGGAACCCTAAAACACGCAGAGCCTTGCCTCAGGAGATCACAAGAAGATGCAAACCCACTGACATGTTATTCCATTCATTAGTCAACCTTCTCAGCTTTCCATCTTTTTGTGGGAATGAGCTGCGTGTATGTGTACATAGCCATGGTCTGGAAAGGCAAATGACCCCCTCAGAGGCACACAGGGTGCCCTGTTCTATCAGACACTTCACAATCTCCTCTTGGAATGATGACAAAGCCACAAACCTTTAGATACATCCCAGAGCCATCAGAGGCTTTGTTAAGGGGTCTCAGTAGATAGAGCAGAGACGCTGGCCCTGGGAGATCCCCTGGCTGCCACAGAAACACCTGTTTTCAGTTTCCAAAGCTATAAAATCAAGCCTTCAGCCTGTATTGATTTTTCAAAGTGTTTTAATGACAGAGGCGGTTTGGAAGCCTGGACACAGTAAGAATGCCTTCTCATTCAGAAGTGTCTGATGTAGTGACTCACACTCTATATGAATACACATGTGTGCATGTGTTCCAGAGCACAGGTATGTGCACACAGCAGATTGTCTTTGATGCAAAGAGCTCCACTGTGATCCCTGGTGTCACCATTTCTACATAAAGTCCATCACTTGTCAGGAATGCAGAGATGGACACACCTACTTGTGTTTAAACAATCTTAGTGACACCAGGTAAGTAGATCCTGCTTCTGACCTCTCCCACTGCACACAGCTGGATGGGGCTTGCCTGGACTGGAACATGCATGCCGGGGAAACCAAACACAAGACTGCAGGGGGCAGGGAGGGAGTACACAGGCGAGGGGAGTGAAGAAATGACCCCTCAAAGACGGAGTGGTCCACAGTGACAGTGAAGCTGTGGGAGTGCTGTGGCCAGAGGCAGGGCCTCCTGGTAGGCTGGGAGCAGCCCTGGGGATTTCTCATCCAAGTCACAGTGTTCCTGCCACTCTGGCTTGTCACAGGGACACTTTTTGGACAGTACACAGTGGTGATTAATGTGTTTGCTACTCTTCAGCAGAACATTCAAGTAGTTTCAATTTAAATATTTTCTACAGTAATCTTTACCTTATTCAGACTGGTAGAAAATACAGAATCTGGCAACTTGTCACTTCATTCCATGGGTGCCCTCCACAAGGAAGTGGACCCTGGCCTACAGGTTACTTTCAAGGTCCATATTTCTCTCCTTCTTTGGGTCTGGTTGAAACTCTTCCAGAAACCCACCCCACAGCCTTGAGGAGCACAGAGGCCCTGCTGGGTCTTCCTTGTTACATTTCTAACAGTGTGCTGCCAGCTCAGCTGGCCTTGTGCACTTCTGTCAGGTGTGAAAAGGACTGGGGACTTCTGAGGCCTCAGTGAATGTGAAGACCCAAGTGGAGCTTCATGAAGGGGCTGTGACATAGTAGAGTGCTGGGCAGAAGTCCTCCATCAGGTCCGAGGCCATCTCCACGATCATGGCTGGAGAAGCTGGTGTCTGCCACTGTGAAGTTCAGAGTACCACTCAAGGAGTCCAAGCTCCCAGGCCTCCTCCTGGGCTCCCAGGCCTTACTTAGTAGATGTCTGGGCAGTCTGAGAAATTACGCTCAAAGTAATCCCCTGCATACAACCAGTCAGGAGTCCCTGTGTAGGGGTTATCGCCTGGATAGAACCACCTGCAGAAGACAAAGAAGGTGGTCAGCAGATGGCAGGGTCCTTCTAAGTCCGTCTTCTCACAGCAGTGTGTGCTACTGGAGAAATGCAGTCTGAGGCAACTGACAGTGGCCGACCAGCCTCCACGTGGCTGTGCTCACCCACATCTCCACCACATCACTGTCTATTTCTCAACAAACCTCAAGGCTTTAGCCAACACCCAATTCTCCACAGGGCTACTTTCATAGGCCAGTCTCCTGTGTGCATGGAGATGGTGCCCATGCAGTTGAACCTCACAGGTTCAGTCTGCACCCCTGCAGCTGTACTCCATCAAATAGAAGCAACTAAGGTCACCAGGAGTGCACCAGGAAGTGATGGGCTGGTGTTACAGCTGGCCATGTGCAAAGAAAGCCCTGAACTTCATCCCTAGTACCATAAAGAAAAAAAGCAGAAGTAATCATCCTCTATGAAAATACTGTCATTTTCACAACGGATGGTTTGTTTGCTTGCCTGCTTCTGTTTTTTTCGAGACAGGGTTTCTCTGTGTAGCCCTGGCTGTCCTGGAACTCACTCTGTAGACCAGGCTGGCCTCGAACTCACAGAGATCCGCCTGCCTCTGCCTCCCGAGTGTTGGGAATAAAGGAGAGCGCTGCCTGGCTTGAGTTCCCTATTTTTAATACTTATTTTTTGAGACAGTGTCTTATTATGTAGCTCAGGCTTGCCTGGAACTCAGGCTGGCCTCAAACTCAAGATCCTCCTGCCTCAGCTTCCAGAATGTTAGAAGTAGAGATGCAAGTACCTACACCTGGCTTATGTTCTTTAATACTTTAAAAGGCCAATGAAGGAAGATCACTTTCAACACTTTTCCTCTAGAACAGGGACAAATTCCAAAACCATGGACATTAAAGGCACAGTACTAAATCAGAAGCCCATGCGTCAATAAGGGCTCACAGAGGCTGGCACAGTGGTGAAATGGTCGAGTGTCTGCCATACACATAAAGCTCTGGGTTCCATCTTCAGCACAGTAGAGAAGGGATAAGGAAAAGACTGAAGAAAAACTGGTTTCAAAACCCCAGCCCCATGTTAATATGACCTAGAAATAAATAGCACAAGGAATGTTCTCTCAGCTACCCAGGTCCATAGCTACTCTGGAGCCTGAAATTTGGAGCTGCTGGAGTTCAAGACTGACAACAGTGAAACTCATCTTAAAAAGAAATGATGAGCACAGGACATGAGTTGGCTGTTTGAAACCTGGGGCCTATGCAGGATCGCTTGGCTCGGCCTAGGAGGAGGGGACTGGACCTGCCTGGACTGAGTCTACCAGGTTGATCTCAGTCCGCGGGGGAGGCTTTGCCCTGGAGGAGGTAGGAATGGGGGGTGGCCTGGGGGGAAGGTGAGGGGGGCCGGAGGGGGGAGAACAAGGGAATCCGTGGCTGATATGTAGAACTGAATTGTATTGCAAAATAAAAATAAAAATTAAAAAAAAATGATGAAAACAACCAGTCTTGTAAGAACTGAACTGTTTAAACATCCAAAGATTTTTACAAAAGACTAAAAATATTTATGTGCACTTATACAGGTACATATCTTGCTTATGCTTAATTATTATAGTACTTTGACTACTGAAGAAAAAATACAACCAATGTAAGAAATCTGAGTCAGAAGTAGGGCTAAAGCTCCTGGCAGCTGGTACAGGCCCATGAATCACAACACATTCTCTGGATGCCCCCCATGTTGGCAGAGGGCTCAACTCAGGGCTGCATCTTCACACCCACAACAGAGGTTTTCCTGATGCCACAGCAGGCTGGCAGCAGGACACCAGGCTTCAGCCTGGCACCACATTGCATGGGGGAAGTGATCTGTGTGTGTGTGTGTGTGTGTGTGTGTGTGTGTGTGTGTGTTACCTTACCACAAGGTATAAATGTGGGGACAACATCAAAACTCTCACTTGTTTAAATGAACAGCTGGGTTCAGGCTATATTTTGTCTTTAAACTGGCCATATTTAAGAAAACCATTTTGGGTCAAATACACTGTGAAGCACGGCAGCAAGGCCTGGGAGTGAGGTGACTAGTGTCCTGTGACAGCCAAATGGTTTTAAGCAAAATATATAACCAGGGACACTGGCCTTTAATGCATGGTTCAGTCATAAGCACTGTGGGACCCACAGATTGCTGCTACTTAGCCATAAAGGCTGGACAGGAAAGAGTGAGTAATAGGGTAGTGCCTATGATGTGGGTGTGGCTTCCTCACTGCCCAGGTGTGTAAGGCTTCACTGTTCAAACTCACCTGGTCCGCCACTCTGCTTCCTCTTTGGCACGTTCTTTTCGGGCCTCTCTCTGCTTTTCCTCTAGTCGCTCCTTCTCCTGGCTGGCCAGATCTAGGTCCAAGCAAGGCAGCAAGCACTTTAAGCCTCCGGTTCTGTCAGAGAGGCCAGACCCCATCCTGACCCCTAAAGGATCAGTCCCACTTAGAACGTGTGGGAAGTGAACTTTGGCTCTAGTAGATCAAGTGAGTTGTTCCTGCCTGGATGAGTGAGGGGCACTTCTCCAGGACAAGCACAGTGGGAGGCATTACAGCGGACCACAGAGAGCATTACTCCAAGTGTGGTCTGTGATATGCCGGGCAGTTTATTAGCACCTGAAGTCCAAGTAGGAAAGCAAGTATCTGGAACAGTGAGCTCACAGAACCCCCAAGTATAAGAATCCCAAATCTATTTGCTATTAAAAGACAAGTCTACTGAACCTTCACCTTGCAGGATAAACTCTGGCTTCTGATGGAGGGCAAAGAGTGAATATTGAGGGAGGAGTGCCACCTGGCCAGCACAGATCAGGATGGAGAGTGGCCCTCCAGACATTCAGGCCTTTCTCCCCATCCCCAGGCATGACTTTCACCAGATGGATTTCTTCTGTACTCATTTGTTACTTCAATGTAGCCTAGGATCATAATGATAGGCATTCCCAGCAGAAAGCTTTGTTGGTATTCAATCTTGCCTTGTAAGCCAGAAGCAAGCTATCATACTGAAAACCTATGCACAGTGCTCATTTGTAGTGTGACTGCCTAGTCTTGGGTCAGAATGAGACGGACCAGGGCAATGGCTCTGCTCATATGAACTTTGCATGAAGTCAGTCCTGAAATGCACTCTACCTCTGAGCTGCACCCAGCTTTTGAAATGTAACTTTAATCCACTGAATTAAATAAATAATAAAGTATTGGGATTTGTATTTTGTTCATTTTTTTCAATCATTTTCTTTTCTGTCATTGCTATTTTGAGATAAGGTTTTACTAGGTAGCTCAGTCTGGCCTTATTATTAATTTTTATTAATCCTCCTGCCTCATCCTCCCAGGTACTGGGATATAACAGGTGTGTGTCACCACACCTGGCTAACACATTTTCAATTTAATTTTAACATTTTACAAAGGTCTGGTCTGTGGCAAGCTGAAGTTAAAACTGTGCACCACCTTTCATTGCTTTGTAAAGTACTGTCCTTGGAGGGCAACACCCTGTTTGTTAGTCTAGATGACTGGTCTGGGCATCCTTCTCACAGAGAAAGCCTAAGTTCACCCACACAAGCCCTTTGGGGAGGACCCAGCAGTTACCCATGTTGCCATTCTCCATGCCTCGGATGTCAGGGCGGAGGCGGCAGTCTGTGCGTGGCAGGGTCTTCTCCATGCCTGACTCTAACTCATTGAGACTCACAGTGAAGCTGGTGAAGTTGTACATCTGCGGGAGAAACCAACAAGCACTGTTACAGTAGCTGCAAGAGAATCATGCATCTGTTCTGGCCTGATCCGTGGGTACCCTAAACCCACGATAAACAGTCAGGTTTCACCCGCTCAAGAGAAGGGCAACCGTGTCCTATTCAAATAGCAAAGATGTTTATCCTGACTTCTGAGGTGTCCATCTGTTCAGTCACTGTCTGTTGAATGCTTGGGAGAAATCTCAAGCTCTGTGCACCTGAGACAGGACTGCCTTGTGCTGTGCACATAGCATCCCTCAGATTGCTTTGTAGCTTTTCCAGGCCTTGACTCCACTCATCTTCCTATTAGCCTTCTCTTCTCTTTCTTGTCATCATCTAAGATCATGTGGCTCAAGGGCCACAGGGAATGTTAAATTTTCTCTGATCACCCCTGCTTGAATGATTTCCAGGATACTTACGTCACTCAAAACAACAGCAGATACTGCCAGGATCCCTGAAGTTTGACCACCACAGCACCTGGGGTCTATGAGGACATGATCCTCAGGTGGCCACGGCTCACACCTGATTCTCTTTAGAACCCTGCTCCATTACCACAGCCTGCCTGCTCTGGAACCAGCTTACCCAGTACCTTAGAGGTGGTAGCTCCCATAAGGGTGCACTCTGCCTTTCCATGGCCGTTTCCACCACCCCAGATCCACAAACCCTGGTAGGCATGAAGGACTAAACCAGCACACTGAACCAAAAAGGAAGAAGAGTTCCATCTTAAAAGAAATTTTCCTCAACAACACATAGGCTTTATTTTTCTAAAGATACTCAGGCAGAATACTTCTCATGCTCTCTGACAGGAACAGTGTACAGTGACTATGCTGTGCAGGAGTTGTTTGTGGTTGTTTATGTTGGCAGCTTTGACACAAGCTAGAGTCATCTGGGAAAAGGGACCCTCAATTGAGAAAATGCCTCCTTAGGATGCCCTGTAGACAAGTCCGTGGGCATTTTCTTGAATAATTATTGATGTGTGACCCACTCCTGGTCCTGGAAGGTGTAAGAAAAGTAGCTGAACATAAACCCAGGGAAGAAGTCAGTCAGCAGCACTCTCCCATGACCTCTGCTTTAGTTTCTGCCTGCCCTGCTTGAGCTCCTGCTTAGGTTTCCCTCAGTAACGGATCGTTATCTGGAAGTGTAAGCCTTTCCTCCCCACATTGATTTTGGTCAGTGTTTTATCACAGCAGTAAACTGATAGAGTAAGGCAACATATTTACAAGTAAATAGGCCACTTCGTTCTATTTATATTAATTTATTCTGTGTGTGTATGTGGGTGCATATGTGTAGATCAGCTGATTCCTTCCATCTACTATGTGAACCAAGGATCAAACTGAAGTTGTCAGGTATGGTAGCAACTCTTACCCACTGAGCCATGTCACTGGCCCAAAAAATGTTGTTGCTATATTGCTAGGGACAGAATTTAGGGCTGTTGTGGGATAATCTTTTTGTACACTGTGAAGATGACTTTGCCAAGGTGCCTTCTGACTGGTTTAATAAAAAGCTGAATGACCAATAGTTAGGGAGGAAGAGGTTAGACAGGACTTCCGGGGAAAGAGAGGAACCTGGGAAGAATCTAGGCATGTGAGAGATACCAGCTAGATGCGGAACAAGTAGGACATACAGAGTGGGAGAGAGGTAAAAGCCATGTGGCAGAACATATGTTAATACAAACAGCTTAATTTAAGTTATAAGAGCTAGTTGGGAACAAGCCTAGGCTAAAAGCCAAACTTTCATAATTAGTAAGTCTCCATGTCATTATTTGTGGGCTGGTGGTTCAACGAAGGTCCAATTAAAAAGCCTACTAGGTTTGGCGTCCAGCGTTGAGCAGGTATATTCAAGCATAGAGCAGCTGGCTCCCTGGTGGGTAGAAATAGAAATGCCTGCTGTGCAGGCTCAAAAACTTCCCAAAGCTGGGGCAGGTAAATGTGGCTCCCTGCTGGGGTCTAAACACATGAGGCTGGGCTATCACTGACTCGAGGGTGGGCAGAGCCAGCCGCCATGTGCTAAGCAGAGCCTCATGGCAGCTGGGACAGCAGGTTAAGATTTGGCTCTAACAACTGTGTGTAACTCCAAGATCTGACACCCTCACACAGACATACATGCAGGCAAAACATCAAATCACATAAAATAAAAATAAATAAATTAAAAAGATTTGGCTCATGCAGTCAGAGGAGGCTACAGGTACACAGAGAGCCAGGTCCAGGCCAAGAAAGCCTCTGAACAGGTGTAGTATGCTTGAAAATGTGCTTAGATGCTAAAGAGAGAAAAGAAAATGGGTATAGACAGTCATAGAAAAAAAAATGGTTCAAAAATAAAATCTTTAAAGAAAGAGTAAACAAATATAAAAAAATAAGCCGTGTAAGGATGGGAAATACACAGGGCATCTGGATCCTGTATGGTTTTGTGACTTAGAATGTTTTGAATGCTGATGAGCGAAGGGCAAATGTTGCTTGAGATACTAAGATTATGAAAACACATGCTGAATTAAACCAGTCTATATATTTTAAGGATGCCTTAACTTTAGAATGGAAGCCTGAAAATTTGCTGTGATGGGGGAGAGGTTATGCCTTTGTTTCCACAGGAAACAAAAAGTTATGGATTTCTTCAAAAGTAATGAAGATCAGATTTGATCAGGGGAGACCTCCTGAAAATCTTGGCCATAGACATGAAGAAAGAAACTAAGAAAAACTACAAGACAGGTGAGGTAGGTGCTGATCCCTCTACATGAGAACAGCTCTGAGACTGGATGAGACATGATAAATCTTGTTATCTACAGAGTCCTCATGATTTATTATTATATGTCATCTTTTCATATGGCATGGATGGAGATTTATATTACAGTTTTGTTATGCCATCCAAACACACTTCTAAAGTTGACAGATGTCTTTCACCTGCTCAGGCATAGAGCAGAGCATCATCTTTAGCTAACTTGTGCACACCACACATTCTATACTTGTGTTAACACAGATATGTATGTTACCTTTAAAAGTTTGGGTGTTTTCAGAACAAAAGGACCAGACACCAATGAAGACAAGTAGCCCAGGTGATCCAGCCTCTCAGAATGTAATTGTCTCTGTTACAGTTTCCTCAGATTTCTGCATCCAGAACGTCTTCCAAGTTGCTAGCTGAGAGGGTCCAGCCTCACAAACTACTCTCACCAGGACTTCAGATAAGCCCTACACTTTCCCATCACACAGAGACTGGACAACAAATAATGCAGCTAGCTCTCACAGGACTGGACCATTATCCCAATTTTCTCAGGGTCCCCTAAAGATGCTACTGCCCCCAGACAACAAGAAGCAGTCTAGAGAACATGACACCCACATTCCCAAAAGGTGGGGTGGGTGGTTCCAAGTTGTTATTGGTAATGGTCAGGAAAAAAGCTGAACAAAGAAGATTAGATTCAAGGATCTTGTTCTGAAAAGAAAAAGGGGGAAACAGGAATGATAGGATAAAAGGGTAGATAATGGAATCTACTTTTTTTTTTTTTTTGGTTTTTCGAGACAGGGTTTCTCTGAGTAGCTTTGCACCTTTCCTGGAACTCACTTGGTAGCCCAGGCTGGCCTCGAACTCACAGAGATCCGCCTGGTTCTGCCTCCCGAGTGCTGCGATTAAAGGCGTGCACCACCACCACCACCACCGGCCTAAGATGTTTTAATAACAAGACTTTTCATGACAGTGAGAGACATCTGCTCCTGGCAGCACCAATCTACTTCAGAGAAGATGATGGCCATCAAAGAACCTCCATATAAACCTTGCTTTCTATGTGGCAAAGCTATCCATTGGTCAAGAAACTGTCTTTGCCTCAACTGACAGATGCTGTCCAAATGGACAAGCAGGACACAGAGGAAGTGACTGCCAAACTTTGCCAAGGCAAGGTAGGAGAGTCCTTCAAAATTCCTGTTTAGAGCAAAGTCTGTCAGATAGTCTAGGCCTATAGACCGAATGGATGCCCCAATGTTGCAGAAGAACCTTGGGTGATGGTTCAGGTGGCCAGATGTCTCTGTCATTTCTATAGTTTTAGTAATATTTACCAAATAATTTTATTCAGGTAATATTTCATCTTTCTTGGGTCTAATGGGGTTGAAGACTAGCTAGTTATACTGTTTTTGTTACCAAATTCGGAAAAGAAACTTATAAAAAGATGTAAAGTTTATTTTTTTAATATTAGTATTTCTTTTTTTAAAGATTATTTATTTATTATGTATACAATGTTCTGCCTGCATGTATGCTGGGACATCAGAAAAGGGCACCAGATCTCATTACAGATGGTTGTGAGTCACCATGTGGTTGCTGGGAATTGAACTCAGGACCTCTGGAAGAGTAGCCAGTGAGTGCTCTTAACCACTGAGCCATCTTTCTAGCCCCCAAGATGTGAAGTTTATAAGGCTGAGAGACATAAAAGCTTAAGTTATTTGTCTAAAAAAATGTTTTAAGGTCTGAAAAGATATTTTTAGGATAGTAATACTAGTTATGATAGAAAGTGGTTTAGGTTAAAAATAAAATGTTGGATTCATCAAGATAAAATAAGAAAATAAGCCGGGCGGTGGTGGCGCACACCTTTAATCCCAGCACTCGGGAGGCAGAGCCAGGCGGATCTCTGTGAGTTCGAGGCCAGCCTGGGCTACCAAGTGAGTCCCAGGAAAGGCGCAAAACTACACAGAGAAACCCTGTCTCGAAAAACCAAAAAAAAAAAAAAAAAAAGAAAATAAAGAGTATTTTCTCTGAATTTGCTAAGTACTAATGAACTGGACATTGTGAATGTAATTCTTACTTGATAACTGTTCTTCCCCACCCCCCCCACTCCCCCCCGGAGCTGAGGACCGAACCCAGGGCCTTCAAGCGCTCTACCACTGAGCTAAAACCCCAACCCTGTGATAACTGTTCTTATTGTACATAGTTTCACTGTGTTAGAGTTAATATCTTTTCTTTTTATTTAGACACAAAGGGGGAAATGTTGTGAGATAATCTTTTTGTACAATGTGAAGAAGTGTCTTTGCCAAGGCACCTTCTGATTGGTTTAGTAAAGAGCTGAATGGCCAAAAGCTAGGTAGGACGAGGTTAGGTGGGACTTCGGAGGAAAAAGAGAAACCTGGGAAGAATCTAGGCTTGCAAGAGATGCCAGTGAGATACAGAGCAAGTTGGACATACAGAGTGGGGGAGAAGTAAACGCCACGTGGCAGAACATACATTAATACAAGGACATGCTTTCATAATAGGTCTCTGTGTCATTATTTGTGGGCTGGTGATCCAAAGAAGGTTCGACGAAAAAGTTTACTACAATTTAGGGTCTTGTTTGTGCATGCCAGGCATTCCATCACTAAGCTACATCACAAGCCCCGGAGTCCTTTTCTTTTTTAAAAAAATTTATATTATTAGTTTTTGTTTGGTTGGTTTTTTGCAGGGGGTGGGGGTTGAGACAGTGTTTGTGTAGTCCTGGCTGTTCTGGAACTCAATCTGTAGGCCAGGCTGGCCTTGAACTCAGAGATCCACCTGTCTCTGCTTCCTGAGTGCTGGGACTAAAGGCATGTGCCATCATGCCTGGCTTTATTTTGGTTTTTGAGATAGGGTCTCACTATGTAGTTCTGGTTGTCCTGGAACTCATTTTGTAAACCAGGCTGGCCTCAAACTACCAGAGGATCCACCTGCCTCTGCCTTCCCAGTGCTAGGATGAAAAGGTATGTACTGCCACACCTGGCTACTTTTTATTTTTTTATTTAATTTAATTATTAATTTAAGATATATTTATTTATTATGTATACAGTGTTCTGTCTGCATGTTTTGCCTTCATACCAGAAGAGGGCACCAGATCTCATTCTAGATGGCTGTGAGCCACCATGTGGTTGTTGGGAATTGAACTTGGGACCTCTGGAAGAGCAATCAGTGCTCTTAACCTCTGAGCCATCTCTCCAGCCCTACTTTTTATTTTTCAATTACATGCATGTGTTTATACCTATGTCTGAGTGTGTACAAACACACCCAGAGACCAGAGGCGTTACTCCCTTGGAGCTGGAGTTACAGGTAGCTGTGAACTGCTTGACATGGGTGCCGAGAACTGAACTCAGGTCCCCTGGAAGAGTACTGACAGTATGGAGAATGGAAGCACCAATGCTGCAGGTATACAGACTCAGCCATGGGTTCTGCATCAAGATAAGATATCAATGCTAGGTGGATTTCTGTACACAATCCCCAAGTTCCACATGGGCACTACAGCAAGCAGAAGTCACTCTCAGGCTGGACCATGGCATTAGAGTCACATGCAGCTCCAGGGAGTAAGTGCTCTCAGGATTGTGGGGATGTGCTGGAGCCTCCCTGTTTGCTTGGAAACAGCTGGTTGGCTACATACAAGAACAAGGTAGAAAAGTTGTGGGTCTGCCTGGGATGGTACAAACAGGACTAATCTGCAGCAGACAGGCCTGGTCTCAGAGAGGGGTGCTAAGGTGTATGACACAGACCTGAGCTGAGTTGGGGGGCCGGCTGTTGATTCTCCAGAGAAGCTTACTGCCAGGGATGACTTGCACAGTCTCCTGAGCCACAGGAACATCGTCCGTCATATCGTCAGGTATATCACTGTTAGCTTTCTCAGGGCCGTCATCCTGAAACACAAAACACCTCACTATGGCCATTGGCCAGGAGCCCTGTACTCAAAGCACTTGAAGACTTGCTCCCAAGCCCCTGTGCAAAGCCAAAGCCTTTTCTAACTGAGGAGAGAAAAATTAAACTCTCTCCTGTTAGTAATGCCATCAGGCCTCAGGCTCCTGCCTCTTCAAGGCTTTACTTTCTGCAGAGCTGTGCCAGGCTGGATTTCTACTCTCTCACAGAGAAGAGAAACAGGTTGAAATAGAAGCAGGTACACACACTGTCCTCTCAGAGACATGCTTGGCCATGTACCTGCCTGCCTTCTGGACACATAACACATCATCTGAGACAGAGGGCCTCCTGATGCCATCTGTTGTACAACCAAAAGCAGTTCTCCTGGGCAAGCTCATAAGCCCATCTCATTTTAAGAGACACAGCTGTTTGCCTTTAAAGTCAGCAATAGGACACAGCTGTTGAGGAACAACACCAGGGACATAGGATGGAAGCTTGGGGTCCTTCCACCTGCCAGCAGCAAAGCCACCTGGACCAAGACAGCTAACTCATCACTAGATGATCCGAGAGAATGGTAAAGTTAGTGAAAATGGCACCGGACACCACTCAGCAGATTCAACACTCTAAATGGGATTTTTCTTTTCTTTCTTTTTTGTTTTTAGATAGGATCTCACTACGTAGTCCTTGCCTTAACAGTCTGGAACTTGCTGTGTAGATTAGGCTGCCCTAGGACTCACAGAGATCCTCCTGTGTTTGCCTCCTCAGTGTACTATCACATCTGGTGAAATTTTTTTTTCAAGACAGGGTTTCTCTGTGTAGTCCTGGCTATCCCGGAACTCGCTCTGTAGACCAGGCTGTCCTCAAACTCACAGATATCTGCCTGCCTCTGCCTCCCGAGTTCTGGGATTAAAGGCGTGTGCCACCTGGCTTGAACTATCACTTTTAATTTTAATTTTGCTTAAGAATAATTCATAGTCACCAGCATTCCAAAATTCTTAGAGGAAAGTCTTTGTCAGGGCTTCCTGATTGTTGAATATATTACTGAGAACTCAGAGTTGGAAAAAGAGAAATGAAATGCACTTGATTCCTTAAATAGGTCTCAGCCAACTCAGGCAACACAAGAGAGATTTATTACAAAGAACTACATAAAAGGGCTAGCATCCCCTTGGAAGCTTCCAGCTTATAAAAGCAGCTACAACATAATCAAAATCAAGTCAAACTCACCTCTGCCCCCATTCCAGGACCCAGACAGAGGACAGTTTTGCCTGGACAGACATATTCCACGTACTACATATACCTCCTGGCTGAGGCCACAAAAGCCGTGCTTCGGGAGGGCTTACTCACCTCAGGCCCCACCCTGACCAGGGTCAGCTGGAGCAGGCACTCACCATCTTGGCCTTCCTGGGGTGGTCACTTCTCCTTTCATGCTTCTTAAAGGACTCATATGAAACAGGATCGATGCCCCACAAGCATTCTGTCCACTTGCCATAAATTATAAAGAGCTTCTTCCTGCTGCAGCGAAGGAGTTTAAAACAATTAACAGTCATCTACAGTGCAGCAGCTTGATGCTGACCTGGTGCTCCCTTCTGTCAAGATTTTGTCTACATTCTGGGATACCTCCAGGTATTGATACGAGGAAGAAGCTTTGTATTTCAGAACCTCATTCATGCTGTAGGCTATCCCTGATGCCAAACAGAAAATGAAGACACAAAAGCCTAAACCATTATCAGGGCCTTAGAAAACAAGGGGAAAAGCACAAACACGTGCCGACCCTTTGCTGGGGTGGGTTTTGATGTACTGTGAGCCCTTCCAATCTTTTTCTATCAAATCCACCCACAATGCCTCCAAGGTCACGTGATGGTATTTGCTTTCTCCTTAGTTGTCACCTGCTCCTTCATCTAGTCTCAGCCCCAAAAGCCCCTCAGCTCTGTCACAGACGCCGCCTCACACCAAAAGGATAAGAGCCATTTAGGATGGACTTCTTCCTTTCTCCTCTGTCTGGGAAGAAAGAGTACATGGTGGCCACATGAACCTTGGGAAGTGCTGCCCTGACAGAACAGCGCTATCAAGAGGACACAGGGGCCAGGCGGTGGTGGCGCACACCTTTAATCCCAGCACTCGGGAGGCAGAGCCAGGCGGATCTCTGTGAGTTCGAGGCCAGCCTGGACTACCAAGTGAGTTCCAGGAGAGGCGCAAAGCTACACAGAGAAACCCTGTCTGGGGGGGGGGGGGGGGGGAGGACACAGGGATATGTGTAGGCGCTTGCATTGCTGATAGATGTGAACTCAGGAACACAGCCCAGCTCCTTAAGCAACTCTAACTGCAACGAAAAAATATGCTTGGTGCTATAGAGAAGGTTCAGTGAGAACGTGCTGCATAAACACAAGGACCCACATTCAGATCCTTAGAACCCACATAAAGCTGGTTATTAAATACTCCTTCACTGGGAAGCAGATACAGAGCCAGCTAGCCAGAGAGTCAAGCCAAATCAGAGATCTCCAGGTTCAGTGAGACCCAGTCTTAAAAATAAAATATAAGAAAGAATAACAGAGAAGCTATCTAATATTAACCTCTGGCTTCCACCTGCATGTTCATGTACACAACACATATGCACAAACATGTATATACACATACACCACACAAACAAAAAAGAAATGAAATGAAACGAAACGAAAAAGCATGCTTAGATCCAGGATGCAAAACCAACAGGTCAAATCAAGACTCTCCCCCCATTGGCTGGAATCCTCAGTCTGCTTCAGACCATGGCAGGCCAGTCTCCAAAATGCCTGGGTGCCCTTGGTGACCATTATGATCATGATAGGGCTGTGTCCTTTACAGCGCACAGGTGAGGTCCTAACTTGTCTCATTAATCTAAAATCTGACATTAATATACAGGTTTGAATAGACGAGTTTCTGGTTCCCTAGAAATAGGCAGTGAGAACAAAATGACTCTCTTGGAATTATATTACTGAAGGGGAGCTGGTGATAAATAAAATTGAGACCCAGAACATAATTTTACCAAAGGGAGAAAAATCTGGAAAATGTGTCAAAACCCTACTGGCCATTTTTCTACACAAAAATCTCCACAAGGCCCTGGTTTAGAGTGGAAAATGTAGGCACATAAACAGTGAATGCCTGCGTGCTTTCCTGATATGTAAGTGGGTGCCCACACGGTCAAGTGCTAAAAATCTAAGTTCTGTTTGTAAAACTTTAGCACTAGAACCCAGCAAGGTTATGCAGGCTGTAATCCAGCATTTGGGAGGTGGATGCAGAATTTTAAGACTGGTACCAGCCTGTGCTGCACAGTAAGACCATCTCAAAAAACAAAACAAAACAAACGGGGTAGGGGGGGGCATCAATGGGTAGACCTACTTTTTGTCTTGAATGTACCCTTCTACTCTGTGAAGTTCCTTTCCAAACAGTCCACATGGCTTGAAGTGAAGTATACACTTATCTCCAGTTCTGTGGGAACAAACACAGGCATTAGTTTACGTAAAACAAGCTACAGGGGAAGAGAAAAAGGACTTGGCCACCTAGGAAAGGAGGCCATGAGTAATGGTTAACATCACAAGAGGCCTTTGCTCCTTGACGGAAAGGCTCTGTAACTGACTTGGGGTGATTGTTTGCGCAACTAGGGGAATTTACTAAAATATCACTTCAGTGCCCATTTAGAAAATAGATGATTTTTATGATTTATAAATTATCTCTCACTAAGGTGTTAACATGCAAAGCCAATGAGTCATAAGCTTCCAGCTGTAAGCCTAGGTCCTTTTGGGCATAGTCACTACATTTTTCACCTTCACTGACAATACTTAGCTGCACTTTACATTTTTAAATAAATTAACAATGGTAACGAAAAACCAGTCAGTCAACATGGGACATTCCTGATTATTTCAATACCAAACAGAACTAAATCTAACCAGACACCATGTTAGGGGCCCCATTACAGGAAGGAAAAAGCTGAGGGACAGGAATAAAGGGCTAGAAGTCCAGAGAGAAGGAATGCAGACAGAGACAGCTCCCTTTAGGTCAGTCAGTTCATCATGTCTTGTCTTGCCATAGCCTGGCCTGTTGCCTTTGGCTCAGAACCACCATCCCAAATACACAGATGGGCCTGTCACCTGTGATTCAGGATCTCCACTATCCCATACTGTTCGATCCACAGCTGCCCAAGGATAACATTATGCACACAGCAGGTGGGGTTGGTCCACGTGTAGGCTTCATTATGTCTGTGAAAGCACCAAAAACAGGCAGTGAAACTCAGAACTTGGGTGACCCAGAAGACCATGACCAGGCAAAACCAGACCTTTCTGAGAGCAAAAAACTGTCTGAGAGCAAAGCAGTGCTTTGAAGTCTTCCCAGTGCAGGCTATTTAGTTAGCATGCATCTGAAATTTATTTCTCCTTTCCTTTGTAGCATCAACAAAGCTTTCTACTTAAATGTCAAGACAAGTTAATAAGCAATAAAGGAAGACTAAAACAAAAGAGAGACAGCTCTCCTGGGAAGCTGCCAAGGGGAAAGGCTTGTGAGAGTCATGGTCCCTCCGCAGCCTGGCTGTGGGGAATGTAGGAGAGGGCTGCTGCTGTTAACACTCAACTCTTCCTTTGAAATGACCCTGCCCCAAGGTAAACCTCATAGCATGAAACACAGCAGTGCCTAGACTTGTACCTATGGGAGGCTACATCAAGGAGCCATGACTGAAGGCAAAAGCATCTTGACACAGGGTGGTTGAGGACACATATCTGGACTCTCTCAAATGGCCCAAGTAGAACCCAAACATGTTTCACAAAAGCATTTGCAGCTTACCAGTTCTGCCCACCTCAACTCCCAAAACAAAGACTAACTACCATGACAAAGGCCCAGCAGCTGGTATTCACCACAGGTGCTTCCCTCATGAGCCTGCTTCTGTGTTCCTGGGGAGATGTATAGAGACATTCTTGTTGTTTGTTCAGTTTTTGAGATAGGGCCTCACTTTGCAGCCTTGATTGTCTTAGAGCTCACTATGTATACCAGGCTTGGCCTTAAACTCAGACAGATCCAACTGCCTTGGTCTCCTGAGTGCTGGGATTGAAGGTGTGCTCAACTAGACCCAGCCTGCCCATAGGTTCTTAAAACTGTCTGGCAAATGGCCAGTGCAGAGCAAATGTGACATCGGTGCTCCCCCACAGCAGGCTGATAATAGAGAACCACTGTAGCAACTGAACCCCTGGGCTGTGGGGGCTGCAGCGGGTTCTAAACTCTAGCATATGCTGGAGACTTGCTACTGGCTGAGTATCTCTGATGGGAGCTGGGCTGAACAGCCTCTAAGAGGGATGTCCAGCGGTCCTCACCTCTAGGCACTCAACTTCATATGTACAAACAGACATGCCTGTGTGACCACCAGCAAGCAGAGGTGTGTGTATGTGGCAAAAGGGGAGCTTTTATAGCTCCTGTCTTAGCTGCTCTCTCTACAGGGTTCCTCTGCCTAAGGAAGGAGGACAGCCACTGGAGAGGGAGTCTATGGCCGAGAATGAAGTTCTTTCTGACCCAGGGCCAGTTTGTCTAGGTGCAGCCTAGAGATGAGGAGCTAAGCTAGGCAGTGACAGGCAGTTGGGTTTGGGGCTGTCACGCAGCAATAATTGATGGCTAAAGTGAATAGCTCCAATCAGTGTGTGAGAGGAATCTGAGACTCATCCACATTGGCAGACAGAGGAACTCATCTCACCAGGAAGCCTAGCAGAAAAAACGCTGCTGGCAGAAAGGCTGTCTGTCAGTCCACAAAAGGTAGGGATCACCCCAGAAAGAAGCCTTATGAGACATGGAGGGGATAACTTCCTCCCAGTCAAAACAGGGCACTCACTCTTGCTTGCTCTTGTCACTCACTTGAGAAGCTCCAGTGTGATGGTCCCCCGGGGCTCTGCCTCGACACTCTTGCCCCAAAACTTCAGCTTTGGATAAATGGAACCGTGGAACATGAAGTCTTGGTTGAGACCTTCTGAATAAAATGCACTAATAGGAGGGTGGTGACTGACCTGTTCAGATATAAATCTGAATCCTAAGTCTTCCCTAGGTCCAAAAATGAGAATGGAAGGGGAAGAGAAAAAGCCACATTAATGACAGCAATAACAAAGGGCCGCCAACTCACCCGCCAGCTTCATCAGCCAGTTGGCATGCTCTGCCCTCCCCTAGCAGCTGATATAGGCCCTGGGCCCAGGAGCTTCCAGCTGTGATAGGCAGCAGAAATATCCAGCAAAAACCTCTCAGGTGGCACATCTGGCCACATACCACTACCCTAGAGCACATCTGCCCCCCGCCACATACACTACTGGGAGGGAGCCTCCATCTGGCCTGCTGCTTATCCCACTGACAGATACCTGAGCCATCAGTCAGGCCAACAACAATCCCAAAGTCTCATTTCCATCTCCCAAGGATTCCTAATGCCAGTCAACCCAAGTGAATCTAAAGCCTATGAAGGGGTGCTCCTGTCCAGCCTTTGTACAGGCTCCCAAAACTTCTATGATGGAATGTCTTAGATCCCAAAATATTCCTGGCCAGGAAATAGGATTTTAGCAGACTCCCTTATTCAATAAAAATGTCAGTTTTTAATTGTTCCGGAACTATGAATACACCTACAGTTGTAGTCATTAAGAATTATAAAAGCTAAACCACATAATTACTAACGTAGCTGGAATCAGAATTCCCAATCATTACAGAGGAAGGAAAGCTGAAAAATTAGATTTTAAAAGGTTGCCTGCCAAGGTATGTAATCTACAAAATGAATACTTGTCTAAGAAAAGCAAGTATATTTTTAGCTGTTCAAGAGGGATTTGAAGGATGAAGGATGCTGTACACAGCCAGGTCTGCACAGTACTGTGGAGCAGGGCCACTTAGTGTCAGGGAAGCTCAGTGTGGAGATACCAACAAGCAAGCCTGGAGAGGAACACATGCCAAACTGAGTGTGAGGGGGTTTTCCTGGCAGCCTGTGAAACTAAATCCAAGTCAGGTTAAGCTTCCTGTCTTACATCCATTCAGCAGTTCAGGCTATTCCTTGTCTCTCATCCATACAGATAGGTTCATGCTATGTAGCCCAAGCTGGCCTGGAACTTATAATCCTCTTGCCTAAACCTCCTGAGTGCTAGAATGTAGGTATGAGCCACCATGCCTAGCTCAAAAAGTTTTTTTTTTTTAATTACCCAGAATTTCTTGCCTTCTCTTTCTCCCTCCCTCCCTCCCTCTCTATTTTTTTTAAGATTTATTTATTTATTATGTATACAGTGTTCTGTCTGCATATACACCTGCAGACCAGAAGAGGGCACCAGATCTCGTTACAGATGGATGTGAGCCACCATGTGGTTGCTGGGAATTGAACTCAGGACTTTTGGAAGAGCAGTCAGTGCTCTTAACCACTGAGTCAGCCCTCCCTCCCTCCCTCCCTCCCTCCCTCCCTCCCTTTCCTTCTTTATTTTTTAAGATTTATTTATTTATTATGTATCTTTCTCATTTTTGAGACAGGGTTTCTCTGTGTAACTAGCCCTGGCTGTCCTGGAACTCTTATAAATGGGCTCACAGGTGGTCAGCAGTGGCAGCTCCTCTCAGGAGTGTCTAGAAAAGGAAAAAACCACTTCACCAATTCAGACAAAGCCACATCCTTAAGAGTGACACTTGCGGGGGCTGGAGAGATAAGCTTAGTGGCTAAGAGCACTGGCTGTTCTTCCAAAAGACCCAGGTTCAATTCCCAGAACCCACATGGCAGATCACCACCACCCCTAACTCCAGTTTCAGGGAATCTGATGCCATCTTTTGGCCTCTTCAAGTACCAGGCTCACATACAGTGCACTTCAGGCAGCCCAAACATTTATACACGTAAGATAATATTTTTGTTTGTTTTGTTTTTCAAGACAGGGTTTCTCAGTAGACCAGGCTGGCCTCGAACTCACAGAGATCCGCCTGCCTCTGCCTCCTGAGTGCTGGGACTAAAGGTGTGCGCCAGCACTGCTCAGCCTTAAAATAATAATTTTTAAAAATGTTTTTAAAAAAATGATGCTTGGGGCTAGTTTCCCTCTCATCTGGGCCTCAGTTTTTTCTTTTTCTTTTCTTTTCTTTTTTTTTTAATTTTTATTTTACTTGCATTGGTATTTTGTCTGCATGTATGTCTGTGTGAGGGTGTCAGATCTTGGAGTTAGAGACAGTTTTTAGTTGCCATGTGGGTGCTGGGAGTTGAACCTGGTCCTCTGTAAGAGTAGCCAGTGCTTTTAACCATCAAGCCATCTTTCCAGAGCCTCCTTCCTTTTTTTAGAATTTTTTTACGGGCCTCAATTTTCTGTTCCTCATCACATCAGACTCTCTCCTGACCAGTCCAACTTTTTCAGAAAAAAATGGAAGTTGGAGAGCAAGGAGCTTGGCCACTACAAGCCAATATCATATCACGGTGGTGCTCTAGATAGCTCCTTACTAGCAGAGTGTGAGAAGAACAGGGGCTGGAGCTAGTATGTTTTTTACTTTTCCAAACTACAGTGCAATATCTTAGCAGGTCCCCAAAGAGCCTGCATGAACAAAAATGACAATTACTCCCCAGATGGACAGATTCCAGAGCTGCAGAAAAGACCATCAGGGTAACAGGCCCAGGGACAGACAGTGAAACCATTTGCACACTAAAGGCAGGCTCATCTGAGACAGGCCAGTGCCAGGATCCCACAACCACCCACCACAGAAAATGCTTATCATCACATAACACACCAGTAGAAAGCCCAAAAACAACCAAAAGTTTCAGAGAAACTGTCCCCTGAATTCATTGACTGATCAATATATCACTACTTTTAAGACAAAGAAAAAATGGTACAAATTAAACTATGACATAGAAACACTGCAACCAGAAAAATAGGTCTTAGAATCAACAAGAAACTACCATTTAGAAAACTATAATATGCCAGGGGGTGGTGGCACATACCTTTAATCCTAGCACTTGAGAGGCAAAGGCAGATGGATCTCTGAGTTTGAGGCCAGCCTAGTCTACATAGTGAGTTTCAGGATGGCCAGGGATACACAAAGAAACCCTGTCTTGAAAAAACCAAAAAAGAAAAAAAAAAAAAAAAAAAAAAGAAATGAAACTATATCAAGGAAAATGATTATAGCTTTACTGTTTGTTTTTGAGACATCCTTGGCTGTCATGGAACTCACTTTGTAGACTAGGCTGGCCTCAAACTCAGAGATCTGTCTGCCTCTGCCTCCCAAGTAATAGGATTAAGGCATGAACCACATGTCCAGCTAAGGAAAATGATCATGATACAATGCAACAGTCATCAATTAACATCTCACACACAAGAAAACCTATGAGGATGCTGACACCATTTGTCTTTGGCAGGTTACATCTGACTGTTTTCTACTTCTGGCACTGCCACGTTCTACATAGAACATTGTATTACCATGGCTAAAACACCCATAGGCTCCATTTAGTGAATCCCCCAAATTACCAGCTGACTCTGACTTCCAGGGCAGTGGCAGAACTCTTCTCTGCAGAAAAGATATCAGAGCAGGTGGCAGGTGCTGGCCCTCCTGCCTGCAGCCCCGTGGCCTGTGTCAAATAACCATTCTGCTAGCCAGTGAAAATACCCCATCTAAATCCTTCCAGCAACTTTCTTCCCCCATCAGAGAAGATCTATCTAGTAAACTACTCTGTTGTTCTCCACATTCCTGAGGCAAAAGCACAATACTATATTGGCCACAAATGCAGTAGACTAAGAATGATCCTGAAGAGCACGAATGGGCCCACTAGGAACTGTACACACTCAGTGACTAGTCCCTGAAGGCTCAAGCAAGGCTGAAGTGAAAACGCACCAGGGGTATGTGACATGTGGTCGGAGTGTTGTCACCACAGCAGCATCTCCAAGACAGTTTTCTGCATAATTGCAGGAGGCCCAGAGTTGACAAAGCAGGTAGCAACAATCTCCCAGTCCAGCCCTCTAGAGGCTCCCCATCATCCAAATGAACTAGGATTCAGGGCCTAGGCTCAGAGATCTACTAAGTCCAAGGATGAGGATGGAGGGGTTATACACTGCTCTTGTGCAGGAGCATTTACCTCCATCTGCCCTGACCCCAATACCCTGGAAGCCTCACATTCTAAAGGTCCCAAGAGGCATAATACTACCCAGAAGAAACTACACAAAGGGATTTCAGCAAACATTCACAGACTAATTCTTCAAGAAGCTAACTCTTGGGGCCTGTCCAACCATTCCTGAGACCCTGCAACACAGGCATGGACTAAATAGGGACTTGAGCAGTTCCCTCTCCTTGGGTTCTCTCTCATCAAAGTGCTGCAGCAAACAGTACAGACCTATTATTAGTTCTGGCTCCACTTTTTGTTGAGAACTAGTGACTCCTCATGTCTAGACCATGTAGTATACATACACCACTAGTAGTCTACATAACATGACCTCCATCCTTGAGCCCTCTGCACTAAGATCTATGCCAACCCATCTTATGGTACCAGGGTTCTAGTCCATCATTAACATCCCATTCCACGTGTGTGAACACCTTCTTACCCACAGCATTCCAAATACTTCAGTACCTCCTAATCCCTCCTAATCTGAGGAATCAATGCTAAAGAGAGAAGTGAGCTCTTCTGTCAACCAAGAGTCCTTCAAGACATTCATGATGAACTCCCCTTACCTGATCAACTCATATGTCTCCCCCAAGAGCGGGTTGAAGGGTTTGCCAGTTCTCTCCCACTGGGAAGCCACAGCTGAGACCGCAAAGGCAGCTACAGACTGCAAACAATTCAAAGATGGATCAGAAAGCTTCAGTCAAACCAGCAAATGAGTAAGCTCCTCACAGGGTGTCAGTCACAGGCATTTAGTCAGCGTCACTCCACTCTGCTGACTTCTCGCGTTTCCACTCACAATGGTTTTTCATATTTATTTATTTATTTGTTTGTTTATTTTTTTATTTAAGATTATAGAACTTCTGGGGAAACACCACTGTTAGGCACTACTTCCTCAAAGTCACAAAAAGAGAACATGTTTTCTCCTGCACACCCTGCAGATGCTGGAGCAAGGTCCATGTGTCTGTCTCACACACGCTGGCACTCCTTTCCATACAGGAATATGAACGCGCGCGCGCACACACACACACACGTAAATACCCATCATGTAAGCATATATGCACACATAAGGCAGTGGCACTGAGATACCAGAGGGAAGCCAACTCTGTGAGGCTCACTGCTAGGAGTTCTGGCCAGAATCCTAGAGAGAATACAATTCTTCCAGATAGCTCACCAGCAGGATACCCGGGTCCCTACAACCATGGGGTCAGTCAGTCAAACAGTTGTGGCATCAGGACTGTCCTCACAGGCATATGCAGTGCCCACCTGCATCCTCTCCAGGGTCTGGGGCTGATTCGAGGCTTTGTGAATGAGGTACACGTGCTCCATGTACTCCGTGATCCGTTGCAGGAAGCTCAGTGGCTCATTGAAGGCAATTGGCATTGTGATCTTGGATAGCTCCTAGAAGGAGCCAAAAAGACACCTGGTTGGGTTTCTGAGGCTTCTGGGCATGCATCAAATGCAAGTATCCTACTCTACTCTGAATGCTCCGAGGATCAGACCCTCAAACTCCCATACAAACAAGATTTTAGAAACCCTCTGTGTGGGCAACCTATCTGTTGTGAGCACTGGCTTCCACCTTACCCAACATGGAATGTCTTCCTGAGGGGCAACCAGGGCAGTTCTCCATCTCCCAGGCCTGGGGGCCACTCCACCTGCATCACATGCAGTGATGACAGGAGCTCCCAGAGAGCCACCTTATCTCCCCTCACCCACTCCAAATGAGTGGTACCAGCCCCACTATTAGAACTTGCCCTTGCTGGGTAATGGTGGCACACACCTTTGATCCCAGCACTCCAGACGAAGAGACAGACAGATCTCTGTGAGTTCAAGGACAGTCTGGTCTACAGAACAAGTTTCAGGGCAGCAAGGGCTACACAGAGAAACACTGTCTCAAAACATAAAAACCAGACCAAAAAAAAAACTTCCCCTCATTGTCCATGGCCTTCCAGTATGAAACAGAAGCACTTTGGCTGACAGGCAAGTCTTTCTACAATGTGGCTTTGCCTGGAAGGCATTTCAGAGTCTGCAAAGGTGACTCGGGAATCTTCTCAAGCACCATGGAGCAGAAATGAGGCTGCAGCTCCTGCCCCCAGAGTTCATGCACAGAGGACAAAGGTCTGCAGGAGCTATTCCTGAGCTCGGCTTCTAGAAAGGCATTAATAGAAAAAATAGAAGAGCTTCCAGGAGGGAAGTGGAGCTTTTTTATAACAGAGAAGGCTCAGATGCTCCAGGAACAAGGACAAGCTTTGGATCTTAGGTTGATTTTCAGACTTTCTGTATTGGAAGCTAGAATGACCCCTTTGCTCTCAATGTCACTAATGCCAAGGCAGAGAGATTGACAGAGTGCCCTGGGGGAGGTGGTATGCTCAGCAAATTACCAACAAGACAGCCTTCCTAGCCAGGTTCTGGGAGACGGCATTCTGTTTACAATGCTGATCTAGGCAGATCCCACTGACAGCCTGAACTCATAGACTGTGAACCAGAGTCAGTCAGGCTCCTCACAGAGGCTACATGCCAAACTGAGAGACGAATGGATATCTTGGAATATGAGGGTGCTGGACAGAATGCTGAGACAGGAGTTACAAGTCAGGTGACTTCTGACATATAGAGGTGACCAAAACCACAAGGAAGTTGCATAAGATCAGCAGGAAGGAAAGAAGCTTATGACTACATCCACCATATCAAGAACAAGTACAAGAGAGCTAAGGGAAGAAACTCTGAGACAGCAGCCAGAAAAGCAGAAAGGCAAGAAAAGACAAGGCTTCATATGCTTTCTGTGCATTACACACCTGTAAAGTAAAGTTGAGCCCACAGCCCACAGTGCAAGAGGTCAGAGAGGTCAGCAGTGGGCAGGAAGAAACACAGAAGGTCCCCAGCAAGAGGAAGGCTAACTGGGCTCACAAGCACTTGCATGCACACTGCTTCTCTGTTCTAAACCCTCAGCTTTGGGTTCCATAGGCCAGGCTCCACCCCTGCTGCTGGGTACAGTAATACAGCATACAAAGCAGACTTGGCTACAGCTAGCAAAATGCTAATACATTTCTCCTTTGATCTAGCAATCCAATGTCTGGGCATCCATCTCTGAGCCTCAGCAAGCATACATGCAGGGCTAGCCCCTGTAACCTGCTTTGGTCAACCAAAAGCTAAAAATGGTCTAATGTCCAAAACAGGGCACCATCCCACTGAACTGAAAGACAACCAAGAAAGGAGCATGAAGTAGTTACAAGATCACTTGAGATTCGCGGCTGAGTGAGACTAGGAATCTTTATTCCTAGAGGCCTATTGCCTCTCTGAAGGCATGGGGAGAAGACTTAGACATAATTCAGGGTGTGGGCATGGGGTGAGATACTTTGAGGTGGGTGACAGCTATTTGTGGAGAGGGACAAAGACAGGAAGCTGAGCTTCCTGGGCACACTGCCATGCTCTGGATGTGGTCTTAGTATCCCAAGGTTTCAGCAATTAACTCTGAAGAATTAAGAGAATGACATTTAATCCATCTACAGTGTTGAATGCCAGTCCTCTGGGAAGCCATTAAGATTAGGTAAAGTCGCCGGGCGGTGGTGGCGCACGCCTTTAATCCCAGCACTCGGGAGGCAGAGCCAGGCGGATCTTTGTGAGTTCGAGGCCAGTCTGGGCTACCAAGTGAGTTCCAGGAGAGGCGCAAAGCTACACAGAGAAACCCTGTCTCGAAAAACAAAAAACAAAACAAACAAAAAAAAAGATTAGGTAAAGTCATTGGGTGGAGCCTCCATGGTTGACTATGGTAGCTAAGTAAGAACAGAGCAAGGGAGCTGGTGAGATGATTCAGCATGTACACTATAAGAGAGAATTGATTCCTGCAAGCTGTCCTCTGACCTCTACATGCACATGTGTGCACATAAATAAATATAATTAATAATAAAAGAACAGGGCAAGGGTTAGGGAAATAGCACAGTGGTAGAATGCATCTGAGGCTTTGGATTTAATCCCTAGTACTTATAAGCAAGCAAACAAACAAAAAACAGGAAGAGAGACCAACAGACATACAACTGTACACGTCACTTCCCTGTCTCCCCCATATGACGTCCTATGCTACCACATGATTCTGTCAGCACTGAAGGCATCACCAGATGCATGCCCTTGGCCTTGTACCTCCAGGAGCTAAGAATAAGCCTCTTTCCTTTTTTTTAAAACATGGTTTCTCTGTGTAACAACAGCTCTAGGTGTCCTGGAACTCACTCTGTAGACCAGGCTGGCCTTGAACTCACAGAGATCCACCTGCCTCTGCCTCCCAAGTGCTGGGATTAAAGACATGTGCCACCATGCCTGGCAAGCCAATCTTTCCTTTACAGTTCACCCAATCTATGGTATTATAGTACAGGCAACATAAAACAGACTAACACATATTTAATGAATTTGACTTTGGATCCGTATTTTGAAAGAAAATTATAAAAGGAATCTGTAAAAATCAAAAATGAAACAGATGAGCCTACATGATTCTCCCAGACCCATGCACAATCACTGATGAAAAAAAAAAAAAAACAGGAAAACTTTGCAATAGGGATATACAATCAAGAAATTAAGGTAAGGTCAACATCCCCAGTAAGATGTATGGACACTATACAATTCTGAATGAGGACAGACAAGAGCTCCTAACTTCTGTGTGCTCCTGCCCAAAAGAGAATCTCTAATTATGCGTTCTTCCAGCTTCTAATGTCAACCCCATTACAACTTCAGTCTGAAGTTATTTAAAATAAAAGGTTGGGAGGAAGTGAAGTTTTCTTTGGGAAGAAAGTATAGAAATAATCACAACAACAACAACAACAAAATGGCATTAGAAGAACGCAGGTAGACACATCTGAGACTTGGTGATGTGTACCTCTGGACCCTTTGACTTGAGTGTCTGTTGCCAAGTGCCATGTGCGCACACTAGCTTCTAATAGTCAAAGATGACCATATGGAAAGTTAATGGCTACTAGACACTTCCTGACACAAAGCCTCAGGACTTGACAGAAGCTATCTGGAGTCTAGTGTGTAGCTAGGGCCCCACCTGCTCACATGCAGAAGGTGTTCAGGCCATAAGCAAATTTTCAGAGCACATTTCAGAGCACCAGGAAAAAGGCCTTATGGAATGTCTCCTACCATCTGCTGTTCTTAAGTTATGTTGTTTCCCTTCCCTTATGCATTTGTTCCTTTCCTGCCTTGTTATCTTAATTTCATGACTATAAATATACAGCGTACATTCTCTTAGATACCAATAGTGCAAATCTCATGGGAATTAATACCTAAGCTCCATGCTTCAAATGAGTTATCTTCACTCACCAAACCAATGCATTTTTTCAGGATACTCCACACGCTGAAATCGCTTCTGGTGAACATGGGGGCAGGAAGGGCTGTCCTGTGAGTAATTTGAGAGCAACAGGCATTTATTAACCAATGGAGTATGTATGGGGGTGGGTATTTCTTACAGGAACTGCTCAAGACCATCATCTTTGCTTGAAACCTAAATATCAGTGTCTCTGAACAATGACATGACTGGAAGAGTTTCAGTCACAGCTGAAACTCTACAGGGTGTCTGGAGCACTGTTTTTAAGTTCTGGTAATGGTTATTGGTTTTGGCAACCTTGGGGTCTTCAGCCGACCCTGCAGTGGCCAGGCCACTGTTTTTCCACCTGTGAGCTGGAGACAAGGCTGACAATGAGAATGGAGTCCTTCTGCTTGCATCCCTACTGCCTGCTTTAGGAGCTTCGGCCCAACCCCAGGATGTGGGCAGAGCTGAGACTAAAGAGTGAAATGAGTCAAGAAAATCCCCTCCAAAATTAGCTATCCACCCTCTGACACAGACCTATCTTCCCAAGGTGCATTCCTTCTCAAGCTACCCTCCACCCATAAGGGCCCAGCGGTAACTTTAGCCTCAACTCCTGCTCTGGCTACCTGGGGACAGACTATAGCTCCCTCCAGAAACTGTGGGCTATACTGAGCACTGTCTCCATAGAGTAGGAAGAAGCCTCAGTAGAGATCTGACTGCCTTGTGGGAAGGCCCATCACAGGAGTGCAGAGAAGGCATCACAGAGCAAGCCCTCAGAAAATAAACATGACTGCTCTGAGCCCTTAGAGGCCACTCTAGTTTTTACTGTGGAATTCTCAATGACACTCCACTGAAGTTGAGCCAGAGAACACTAACTGGGCATTTTGATCCTGGGATGGTGACAGCTGGGATCTGCCTGGAAAGGGCTCATGTGGGTAACTGAATCAAGACAAGAGGGAGAAAGGAAACCCTGAGACAAAACAGGAAAGGAAAAGAAATCTTAATGTTTACTGAGCACTATGCACCAGGGCTGCCAAAAACAGCTGGAATGCTGTGCACATGGCAAACTGTGAGGGCCACAAGAAGTGGAAATTATAGCTCTGTAGAGGATCAGGGTAAGACCCCAAGGATACAACCTGTGCTGGTTAGTTTTTGTCAGCTTGACAGAAGCTAGGATTATCTGGGAAGAGGAACCTCCATTGAGAAAATACCTCTATCAGATTGCCTATAAGCAAGTCTATATAGGGCATTTCCTTGATTAATGACTGACGTGGGAGGGCCAAGCCTACTGAGGGCAGTGCCACTCCTCGGCAGATGGTCCTGGGTTGCATAAGAAAGCAAACTGAGCATGCCATGGGAGCAACACAGTAAGCAGCATTCCTCCATGGTCTCTGCTTCAGTTCCTGCCTTGGCTTCCCTGATGATAGACTGTAAGCTATTAGCCAAACAACCCCTTTTAGTCCTGATTTGGTTGTGGTGTTTATAACAGCAATAGGAAAGTAACTAACACACAACCCTTGCAAGATGGGAAGGAACAACAGGAAAAGACATGAAGGAGGACGGCAAGGCTCCAGGCTGAGACAGCAGTATGGGGAAGAATTTGGGTAAGCACACCTCTAGATGTAGAACTCAAAGCAAGAGGCACCAGGGGAGGCAGAGCCAGGAGTGAATGAGGACAGGGCTGAGTACAAGGGACAGGGGAGATGTCAGTCCTCATTTCAACACAGTGACCATGTAGATCAATGCCCAAGATGGAGTACTTCTGTGAGCAAACAGGGCGCTATTCAGAGCCACTTGGGACTGGAGTGTGAGGCTAGGAATGAATCCCGGCTACATTAGCTTTAGGCAAAGAACAGAGGTGGCACCAACAGCTCTGACTGTGATAAGTACCACTGTTCTTAGAAGGAAGAATGAGGGGAAGGTGGCATACTTGATGCATCGTGGACATGAGAGAATCTGAAGATCCAGGTACATTTAGAGGCCAAAGCATCAGATCAGGGTGACAGAGAATGAAGCAGTGGTCTCAAGCTCAGTGATGTGCTTGATCACAAGGTGATGTACACTTAGAAGTGCTGTTTGAATTTTAGATGGTCTTTTAATAAAAAACCCAGAGCCAGATATCAGGGTGAAAGCTGAAAGATCAGAGAGGCAGAACAGCCAGCCACTCTCACCTCTACAAAATCTTCAGCCTAAAGAGAGTGAGTTCCTGTTTTCTCATGCCTTATATACCTTTCTCCGCCCAGCCATGTCACTTCTTGGGATTAAAGGCGTGTGTGCTTCCCAGTACTGGGATTAAAAGTGTGTGCCACCACTGCCTAGCTCTGTTTCCAGTGTGGTCTTGAACTCACAGAGATCCAGACAGATCTCTGCCTCCTGAGGGATAGAATTAAGGGTATGTGCCACCACTGCCTGACCTCTATGTCTAATCTAGTGGCTGGCTTTGTCCTCTGATTCTCAGGCAAGTTTATTAGGGTACACAATATATCACCACATAGGAGAGAGATGGTGAGGTATAGAGTGAACATAATCTGCCTCAGACAGGCCTTCACAACCCATGTGATGTGCTCCTGCACCCACTAAGCACATGAGCGTAGGACAAGAGAAGGGTGAGCACCCTGGGCATTGAGGGAACCTGCCCTGAGGTAAATGGGCCCATGTGTAAGGTCAGCAGTGAGGCTGGAGGGTCCACTGAGGCCCCAAATATCTTTTAATATATGTGTAAGGAAGACTATGTCCCAAGGATTACCCTTGTGGGTTCCTGCTTTTCCTAACAGAGACTGAGAACTTTCCATGATGACCATGTTATCATTGTCTAGATACACAAATGAACATGGTAGGGAAAAAAATGGAATGTAGTTTTGTTGCAGCAACTAATCAAACCCTTTCCGTCCCTACAGGTTCAGTGGGCAACATTTCTCAGTAAGACACAGAAGGGAAAAAAAAAAAAGACACAGAAGGGACAATAGAATTAACCTGGTGTCTGTGGAGGGACAGGTGGGTCTGTGGGTGAGGTCTGTGGATCATGTTATGCACAGGCCCTAAGCCATTCTGGGACAGAACTATTACTTCATGGGGGAGGATTCATGGATCAAACACTGCCCTCCACTGGTCTCCATGCCCCCAGCAGACAGGCAGCAAGTCTCATGAGACTTTGGTGGCTAGACTGCCTGGAAGAGTTACCTTGGAACTGGGGGTGTACCAGCTCAATTTATGAGACCTAAGGGGATACCTTATAGTACATATGGGAATGATCATAGATATACTTTGGAAAATTCTGAAACAATGCATGTAAGACAGCCTACCTGTGTTTTTGAATTCCATTCTCTTGTGGTGGTCTCTCCCCACTTTTCCCACTCCTAGTACTTTTGCTGGTGTCCAAATCAATCATCCCACTGATTTTATTTGCCTCTGAAAAGTCCCCTGTAGAGTTATCAGAATCAAAGCCTGCAAGAAATAAGCACAATGGTCATGTTTATTAGACTTGGGAGATATAGAAACCTACTTCAAGACTACACTGTAGATGTAACCAACCGTCTTATTAAATAAGAAACACAGAACCAATGCAAAGAAGAAAGCCAAGAGATCAGAGCTAAGATCAGAGCTTGGGGTTACAGGCATATATAGCCAGACCATGCCTAGCTCCTCCCCCTCCACCAACATGGTGGCTCACAACCATCCACAACTAAAGTTCCAGGAGATTTGATATCCTCTTCTGATATCCACGGGCACCAAGCACATCTTAATGCATGTGTAAGGAAGTCTATGTCCCACTGACTATCCCTATAGTTATTTTATTTTACTTGCATGTCTTTTTTTGCTCACATGTATGTGACTCACATGCATACATACAGGCAAAACAGACATACAAGTAAAATAAAATAACTATATTCAGGGAGGTTCTTTCAAAGAGTCCAGCCCATACTATCCTTCATGTTGTCTCTTAAGATCCAGTCAGGGTTCCTCTTATGAGAGAAGACATCACTGTCTTTCTAAAAAGCTAAGGTCTCATCTAATATACCCCTGGCCTTGCTGTGCTGAGCCAGGCCAAATCCTACACCCAGACCCCACAGATTCCCACACAAGACGCAGTGTCTGGGTTATGTCTCTTGCAGTTGCTCACCTGTGACGGCATCAAAGAATTCTTCCTCCCCGTTCATCCTTTAGTGACCAGGCTATCACTGTTCTGGGGTTTGGTCTTCCTACTGGATCATATCTGAGCTATATTTACGTAGAAGTTGTGTGAATACTGGAAATCTGAGGAAGAAATATTTTGGAATGAACTCAGCTAAAGCTTATGCTCTGGAAACAGCTTTTAAATACCCATATTTTTATTTTGACTTTTTGGGTTTTGTTTGTTTGAGACAGGGTCTCACTATGTAGCTCTCTGGCTGGCCTCGAACTGGGCATGATGGTACACACACCTTTAATCCCAGCCCTTGAGGCAGAGACAGGAGGATCTTTGAATTCTAGGTCAGTTCGATCCAATTGATCTCCATAAGGGCAGGGTGCATTGGCACAAGCCTTTAATCCCAGCACTCCCCAGGAATAGGCAGTAGATTTCTGTGAGTTCAAGGCCCACCTAGTTTACAAAGGGAGTTCCAGGTCAGCCAGGGCCATACCATGAGACCCTATCTCAAAAAGAGGGAGAGAGGGAGGGAGGGAGAGGGAGAGAAAGAGAGAGAGAGAGAGAGAGAGAGAGAGAGAGAGAGAGAGAGAGAGAGAGAGAAAGTGACCTCATGTCTAAGGAAAGAAAAAAAATGAATTATAACAAATATACTCTTCAAGGGGCTGGAGAGATGGCTCAGAGGTTAAGAGCGCTGCTTGCTCTTCCAAAGGTCCTGAGTTCAATTCCCAGCAACCACATGGTGGTTCACAACCATCAGTAATGAGATCTGGTGCCCTCTTCTGGCCTGCAGAGATACGTGCAGACAGAACACTGTGTACATAATAAATAAATCTTAAAAAAAAAAAAAAAAAAAAAAACAAATATACTCTTCAAGCATCAGGAATGAAAGGATGAATACCTAATATAAAGACGGAAAAAGAAAGTTGGCCTTGTAGCATACTTGTAATCCTAGAGGAAACTAAAAGTTCAAGGCTGATGGCCAATCAGATGGCTCAGTACTGATAAGGTGGAAAAAACTAACTCCTGCAGGCTGTCTTCTGACCTTGCACATCCCTATCCCCCACCACACAATAAATAAATAAGTAAACAAACAAGCAAAACACAAATGAATAAATAAATAGGTCAAGGCCTAGGTCCAGAGAGACTGCTCAGCAGTTAACACACAAGCAAGCAGACTGGAGTCCAGAGGCACAGCGCCACACTTGTAAATCCCGCAAGGCAATCTGCCTGTAACTGCAGCTTCGAAGGTGGGGACCTGGAGCAAACTGACTAGCAAGTTCTGAGTTTGATTACGAGACCCTTAAGTGGAAGAGCAACTGAAGAAGATTCCAGAAATCAGTCTCTAGACTCCACATTCATGCACACACATACATGTACACGTGTACCCCCATACATGAAAATACGCATGCACGAACACACACATTTAAAAATAGAATGAAGCAGGGGGGCGGGGAGGCACACCTTTAATCCTAGCACTTGGGAGGCAGAGGCAGGCAGATCTCTGAGTTCAGGCCAGCCTGGGCTACAGAGTAAGATCCAGGAAAGGCTCCAAAGCTACACAGAGAAACTCTGTCTCAAAAAAAAAAAAAAGAAGTGTGAGAAATGAGGGCTGGAAAATGTAGCGCAGTAGTAGAGCGCTTGCCCAGCATGTGTAAGGAAGGCCTAGGTTTCAGTAGTATAAAAAAGAAGTTTTTTTAAGAGTTATATTTTAAGGCCGAGCAGTAGTGGCACATGCCTTAATCCCAGGCAGATCTCTGTGAGTTCAATGTCTGTCTGCCTGGTCTACAAAGCAAGTTCCAGGACAGCAAGAACTACACAGAGAAACTCTGTCTCAAAAAAAAAATATATATATATATATAAAATTATTTACGGTTGTTCAGGTTAATTTAGGAAGACGTGGGTAGTTCGAGTAGTTTCAACAGGCAATCACATGAAGGTGAGGCTCTGCTGTGAGTCATAAGGAGCTGGATAACAAGTACCAGACGGCCACAATATTTGCCTTTCATCTACCTCAAGGCAGCTGTTCTTTCCTTGTGGAGCTGGGAATGGGACCCAGGACCTCACACACTCACGGGTCACTGCACTAGGAGTGACATCTCTAGCCGAGAATCAAGACAACGCTGTAACTTAGTTCTGGCATGTAACCAAAAGAAGCTTCAATTTTCTCAAAATTATCTTAGCTTAGCATTTTAGAACTCCTATACAATAACTTCTCCTATCAGGAAGAACTGTTTTGTTTTGTTTGAGACAGCGTCTCTCTATGAATCCCTGGATGGCCTCAAATTTACAGAGATCCACTAGCCTCTGCCTCTGGAAGGTTGAGACTAAGTATGCCACCACACCAGCCCAGGAACAGTATTTTAAAACAGTGAAGCAAAAATTCAACCTGTAGCCAGGCATGCACTCCTTTAATTTCACTTTTTTTTTTTTTTTTGGTTTTTTTCGAGAGGGTTTCTCTGTGTAGGCCTGGCTGTCTTGGAACTCGCTCTGCAGACCATGCTGGCTTTGAACTTAGAGATCCGCCTGCCGCTGCCTTCTAAGTGCTGGGATTAAAGGTGTGTGCCACCACCACCTGGCAGGCCTGCCCTTGTGGACAAATAAATTATCAATGTCATTCTGGAGGGTATAGGCTCCCAGTGACAGGTCAGCTCCCACCTATACAGACACACTTGCCCTTGAGTGACTGTCCCTCCTCCTTTTGCCCTTATACAGCCTACCTTCTATAGGAGTGATGCAGCAGGAACAACCTCACCAGACACTGGTACCATTTATTGCATTTTCCAACATCTCAAACTGAGAGCCAGTGTGTTTCTGCTCAGTATAAACTGCCTACTCTGCAGTATCGCTACAAGAGCACAAAATGGACAAAGCCAAGAGGCCAACCCAAAAGCTTCAACAGCAAAGATGAGACAACCTGGATATCAATGGACTGCAAATAACAGACCTATCAAACACAATGATGGCTCACGTTCCTAACGACACTAACAAAGAGGTGACCGGTCACCAGTAGTCAATGAATTATTTTGAAAACAAGGAAAGAAGGGCTGAGGATGTGGCCTGACTGATAAAGTGTGTATCTAACGTGCAAGAAGCCCTGGGCTTGATCCCCAGTATCATGTAAACCCTAACCCTGTAATCTCAGCATTCCAGAGATGAAGGGTCAAGAGTTCAAGGTCATCCTCAGCTCTCATGGTGAGGCCAGCCCAGGAAGCATGAGACCCTGTCTCAAAACAAACAAAAAGAGTAAAATTGTTTCTTAGCCCTTTGGCTAAGATCAAATGTGACCAAAGAAATAACATTCTGTTCATTCTTGGGGGGAAAAAAACCACATGGCCAATGAAAGCCTTCCTGCTGAGTAAATCATGCCAAAATGCAGCCCAGGATCTGGCTTGATCTACCAACTTAAGGAAGTGCTCAGAAAAGGATTGTGCTAGACACTGTGGGAGCCCAAATAGCAACACTCAGACTCTGGAACCTTCCAGGCCAGAGACAGTTTCTCCAGGAAACAAGTCACAAAGGAAAGGAAGAGACAGAGTGGTAGAGGACAGACATTATCCCCACTGAGCAGCGGTTCTATGGTAGTACGTGTCATGCATAAAGGAAGGCATAAGTTAACACACATGCTGAACTACATAAGGCCATATTCTCATCTCAACCTTATACTCAAATACATGCATTTTATTACATATAAATCATCCACTTCAAAAGCCACCTTGAAGCCTGGTGTAGTAGCATATATATGACCCCAGCAGTCCCAAGGTACAAGCAGGAGGATTAGGAAATCAAGGTTACACTGACTAGAAAGCAAGTCAGAGGCCAGCCTGGACTACCTAAGACTTGTCTCAAAATAAAACCACAAACAAGTAAGTGAAAAGCTATCTTGAGAGGATACAGGTGTGGTTCGGTTGGTAGAACAATTGTCTAACATTTATAAAGCCTGAGATCAACCCCTAGTACCTGAGGGGGAAAAGTTACCTTTAAAAAGACACAAATGAGCTGAGCGCTGGTAGCATACTCCAGAGTCAGAGGCAGGTGCCTCTATGAGTCCATGGCCAGCCTGGTCTACAAAGTAAGTTCCAGGACAGTCGAGACTACCCAGAGAAACTGTCTTGGAAAAACAAAAATAAAAACAAAAACAACAACAACAAAAAAAGACACAAATGGCTGCCAGGCAGTGCTGGAGCACATCTTTAATCCCAGTACTCAGGCAGAAGCAGGTGGATCTCTGCGTTTGAGGCCAGCCTGGTCTACATAGTGAGTTCCAGGATGGCCAGGGATATAGAGAACCCGTCTCAGAAAGAGAAAAGCGGGGAAGGGAGAGAGAGGGAGGGAGAGGAAGAGGGAGGGGGAGAGGGAGGGAGAGACACAAATGGAGGCCAGACATTTGGGAGGTAAAGACAGGCAGATCTCTGTGAGCTGGAGCCAGCTTGGTTTACAGAGCAAATTCTAGGACAGCCAGGACTACAGAGAGCCTGTGTCAAAAACCAAACCAAACCAAAACATCAAAAAAGACACTAACAGGACTGGAGAGATGGCTCCGTGGTTAACAGCACTTACTGCTGCTGTTGCAGAGGACCATGTTTCAGTTCTTGGCACTAACATGTAGCTCATAGCTGTCTATTACTCCAGTTCCAAGGGACCCAATCCTCTTTTGACCTCTGCAGGCTCCTGCATGCATGTAGTGCATGTACATACACTCAAGAACATACACACAAAGTTTTTTTTTAATAAAAAAAAAAAGACACTAATATCATGCCTGAAGCCAAATTCAGACAAGGCTGTACACAGCTCAGGACCTCAGAGAGGCTGGTGTGATAACTGGACATCTGGCAGCATGAGGATCAAGTTCACGTGTAAGGTGTTAATGACATGGTTTTCAAGAGGCATCATATTCTAGAGCTGTACATAGACATGCATGTAGATCAGGTAGCAGCCTGCCAAGTGTCTCTTCTAAAGAAAGAATCAGAGTAGACCCACAGCAGGACAGGCCATGGAAGAACAGGCTGGGCACAGGTACACGAGGGACCCTTGTACATTCCTGCTGTGTTTGTAAAAGCTCCATGATAAAAAGCATGCTGCAAGCTGGCCTGCTCTTTTTACATGCTTTCTCATCTAAAGCAAAACCCCTAATGTTAAAACTAAATTACAGAAAATCATTGTAATAAGGGCATAAAATGTGAGGTCAGACACAAGCTTACTGGCTACTGGGACACTACGGTCACTTTGGTATATGTCCTTGCCACATGTACCCTGGTATCCAACTACAATCAAGATCCCATCCTGGGCCAGGTGGTGGTGGTTCACACCTTTAATCCTGTTCCAGGACAGCCAGGGCTACAACGAGAAACCCTGTCTCAAAAAACAAAACAACAACAAAAAGAACCCACCCTGGAAAGCCTTTTTACAAGACTCCATGAGGTCAAGGGCCCAGTCTTCTCATGCAGCCTCAGGATGTCTCACAACTGTAAGTGAAACCATTAATTCTAATTAACTCCCAGCATAGCTGCAGGTGGCCTGGAGGAGCAGAAGGTGCTCAAGGACCTGAGAAGACTGCTGTCCTCTGTCAGGCCAAATCTGGTGCCATTTCACTAGTTTTCAGCAGATCAATATCCACCAGAAGCTGGGCCTCAGAGATGGGGCAAGGCTGGCCACAACAGTGTTCCCAGGGAACTCTCCTGATGGACCTCTACAACTGATGTGGGGATCTCCAGGAAGAAGGGAATGTGTACCACTAAAGCACCTAGGTGCCCAGCACTCCAGAGGGCCCACAGGGTGGAAGAGCAC